CTCCAGAGCTCAGTTTTATTCACCCACACCTCACTTCCCCCAGTCCTTTATTCTCAAGCTGAGGTGTCTGCTGAGAAAAGCCGCTCCGCATCTCCCTGGTCTGCTGGGGGGGGAGGGGGGCGCTAGCTTCACGTCTCCCTGGTCTGCTGGGGGGAAGCAGCTAGTGCGGGGTTGCCTCACCCCGTTTGTACGTAGGGATCCGATGTAAGTCGGATCCGTGTAACCCGGGGACTGCCTGTATTCCAATATCAGGAAGAGGCACAGGCGGATATTTTGGAGATTCAACGGAAATATATGTGAACTGATAAGAGAACAAATGTTTCATGCACAGCTAGCCACTTAGGCTATGTCTACACTACAATCTCCAGGGAATGCGTCCACTCTTCCGCTTTTTTTGTGGAAGAGCAGAAACTCTTTCGGAAGCCCACGAGGAAGGAGGACTCTTCTGAAAGAGGAGGCTTCTCGAAAATTTGGCCCAGTGTAGAAGGGCCAAATTTTGGAAAAGTCTCTTCCGAAAAAACTAATTGGAAAAATGTGTGCAAATTGCAGAGCGCCATTTGTGTACCTTTTCCCCGATAGATCATTATAGTGTAGACACAGCTTCTGACAGGGCACAGTTCTTTCCCACATTACTTTTTAAACTACTGTACTCCCAGTTGTTCTAGCCAGTCTGCCTGTATTGATCACGCGATCCATCAGATGGAGACATAGCTCACATTAGACGTACCCTTTTGGCACTAGGAAGACAGCCCAGAACATGAAGAAAAAAATAAAATTCAGACACATGTTGAAACGGGGGGTGATTAAGTAGTCCAACAGTCCATGGGCCTTACCCAAGGTGCTTGGACCTAAGAAGGACAGGTGGATCAGATTCTATGCGAACTATGGAAAGCTGAATGATAGTGACTGAAGTGCCCCATGCTTAGGGCTGGTGAGACTAAAAGAGCTGTGCAGGGGAGAGTACATGTTACCTTTACCATCACAATCCTCACACAGTTACTGGCAATTGCCTTTGGACTAGGATCCTATGCTTAAAGTCAACATTCGGCAGTCCCACAGGGATGAGTTATCGTTGTCCCTAAAGGGTGCCCTGGCCACCTTTTAGCATCTGGAAGCTGAGCTAAGGAGGGGAATGGCAGGATTCACCTTGGTATATATTGATGACATTTGTACTTTTTCAGAGGTGGCAGAACAGGTACCCCAAGTTACAATGATGTTCAGCTACTGTCTGTCCTACCTATTAACAGTAAAGGGAAAGAAGTGAGGGTGACATAGGAGGTTTATCAGGGACACAAGCAGGGAAGTGGTCACAAAGCCAGAATCTGAAAGGGTGGAGCCTCAGGGTACGTCTAGACTACATGCCTCTGAGGCGTGTAGATTAGGCTACCAGGCATAGGAAAATGAAGCGGCAATTTAAATAATCGCCGCTTCATTTAAATTGACAGTTTAAATTTACGCGGTAGTCTGGACGCACTGGTGTCGACATCAAAGGCATTTGTCGACCACCCAGGTAAACCTCATCCTAGGAGGCATACTTGGGTGGTCGACAAATGCCTTTGATGTCGACACCAGTGCGTCCAGACTACCGCGTAAATTTAAACTGTCAATTTAAATGAAGCGGCGATTATTTAAATTGCCGCTTCATTTTCCTATGCCTGGTAGCCTAATCTACACGCCTCAGAGGCATGTAGTCTAGACGTACCCTGAGGCTCCACCCTTTCAGATTCTGGCTTTGTGACAGCACGATACAGGTTCCTGCCTTCACATGGGTGGTGAGTATTGCAGGAGATTTGTACCTCACCTTTTAACTCCTGAGTGGCTCTTATTCCTGAATTGTGTAAGGGCGGCAAACCAGAAAGAGTCATCTGGACCAAAGAGGTTTTAAAAACGGTGCTCTGTGCACTGAAGGAGGCCCTGAGCCAGGATCCAGTTCTGGTAAGCCTAGTTTTAATAAATCCTTCATGGATTCCTCAGACACAGGACAAGGCTGTGTTGGTGCAGACAAATGCTAAGGGACAGACACCCAGTTGAATTTCAAAAGGAAACCGTACCCAAAGCTGACAGTGATTGGACTTCATCAGTGCCAATTGATCCTGGAGTTTGGGAGGTGTCGATGACAACTAATGACAGAACACGGTCTGGAATCAATGTAACCCAATGCTTACGGGCTCTCTTATTGTGCCTCTGGGACTCAACTGTGTCCCAAGTTCTCATGCTCAGGGCTCAACAATCACGGCGAAACCCACTCGCCAGCCCCGCTCCGTGCATGCGCGAGACCCGCACTGTGCTTGCACGGACTGCCGGTGAACGGGTCAACCGGCTGAAATCTACTCACCACGGACGAGCAGATCAGCGTATCTGTCAAACCCTGCTCATGCTAATGGGCTTGCTTAGAGCTACTACTTTGAAGATTCCTTCAATTTACAGGAAGACAGGCTCATGTTTATGAGAGTGCTTCCTCAGTTCTTGAAGAGATCCCCCTGGATGGCCTGAAGAGGAGATTCAGAGGGCCACCTACAATAGAGCTGGACTTTTCAGCAAGGAGGACACTTCCTGCAGTATCAGGCCAATGTACAAGTAGAACTCCCCAGCCTGCATCCAACTGGGGCCTCCTGCCCTTCCCCATG